CCCCCCCTTTCTCTTTCCCCCCTTTTTCCCCAATTCAGGAGCCCAAAATGACACGATCCAAGCTGAAAGAAGTAGTAGAGAAAGGTGTGGTAAGTAAAACTTAGTAGCGGTACAGCTCATTCGTTCGTACCTATCCCTGAATTGTGGGGTTTAAAAATATTGATTTCTAATCCCGCTTGTGTTATTTTTATAAACAATTCAAGGTGGTGAACACAAACAATATCCCTTCCTCCTCCTCATTTTCCCCCATGACAGCAACCCTGTGAGGTGTGTTGGGCCGAGAGAGGGGGACTGGCCCAAAATTACTCAGCTGGCTTTCAGGACTTAAGGCAGAATTAGAACTCACCGTCTCTCCTTTTCTAGCCTGGTGCCTACACCAAAGCGGCTCGTTTTTATTTTATTTATGAGTCTTATTTATTTATGGACATTCTCCCTGTTTGCTGAAGCAGCATGGGTCAACGTAGGGTTGTTTTCAGAAAGTGCTAATGATAAACAAATGCAAGCATGCATGTATGAATGAGTGAATGGGTAGAATTCACGCCCTTCCCGATTTTTTTTTTTTTTCTTATTGGATGGCAGAGGTGCCAGTCTTTCTTGTTTTCTCCTCAGGTAATTCCAACCTGGAACATTTCTCCCATCAAGAAAGCCAATGAACTCAAGGTTAGTCCTCTTGGGATTTTGATCATATACTCTGGCAGGCCTTTCGTTGTTCTTTTATGTTGGGAATTAGAGGCCCATTAGAATCTGAAATATACACACATTTACTGCACTTGGGAGGGATCGGTTAGCAAATTCCTTTACCTGTGCTCTCCGAGCTCGGTGGTTTTCTTGCAGACGTTTCATGACCCAGCTATGTCACATCATCAGTGCCAGAGGAGAGTTGGGTTTGGGGAAAGAAAGAGGAAATAAATGAGGAGGGCTGTGACGTCCTTGGTGCTCTCTGAGCTCGGCGGTTTTATTCCAGACGTTTCACCACCCAGCTAGGTAACCTCATCAGCGCTAGAAGGAAGGGGGTTTTGCAGAGTGGAGGAGAATAACAAGGGGAGGAGCTGGATTGCTTTCCTTGCAGACCTCTCACGCACCCAACTAGGTAACGTCACCAGTGCTAGAAAAACCACCCAGCTCGGAGACCACCGAGGAGCCCTAAGCTACCAAGAGCCTCTTCCATAAACTCAAAATGTTTAAGTTTTGCAGGATGGAAAAACTAGAAAGATTCAATTAAATTCACCCTCCGTGATGACCCCGGAGTGTAACACAAACGTAACAAAATCCAAAATGTAAATAAATGTCCTTTAATGCCTCCAACTTGGCCCCACTGTTCAGTAATTCTCAGTTGGAGATAAAACTTACTAAAAAACAGTTTTCAAAAGAAAGCAATACAGTCCAAACTTAATGAGCAGATAGAGGTGGAAAAAAAAAAAGAAACTACAATGAAGGAATTTCCACAACGGACCAGGATAAGTAATTACCAACTTCAAGGAGATAACAAGGCACAGTCTGTTGGAAGGACACCAACCAAGATAACCTCAGCCCAAAATAAAAAGCGCTTTGCTTCTGGCAACGATGTGTTTTAACCGTCTCTCTTATATACTAGTCTCCCCAGCTGCAACCAATGAGGGGGATCATGGCTGCTTCCTCTCCCGTAAGCCAGGTTGCTCCCTTCTTCGTTCCTCCCTGCGTGTCCTAGGATGGAGAGGGGGTGGCCCTGGTTCTTCCTCTTGACTACCCAGCCAACCTCCCCCACAACCTCTGAAGCCACTGTGGCTCTCAAGAGTCCAACTCTACCAAGGGCATGACGCCCTCTCCGGCTTGCCTTGGTTCAACCAATCCATGGAAGCTCCTTTTCCCCCTCCTTTTCTCCCTCTCTCTCTCTCTCTCTGAAAACTCACTTGTCTGCCCTTGTTCCTTTTCCTTGCCCTCCCACCCACCCCCTTTTCCCGTCACTGCAGCCACCTCAGTTCGTGGATATCCCTCTTGAAGACGACGATTCGTCCGATGAGGAGTACCAGCCGGAAGAGGACGAAGAAGACGAAACGGCGGAGGAGGTAATCCTTTGCAAGCGGGGAAAAAATAAATAAAATAAAAAACCTCCTTCCATGCAGACGTCTAGCAT